AAGTTGTTTACTCCATAAATTTCTATTTTTTTTATAAGGGTTTCATGATTGACAGTGTCAAATGCTTTGGATAAATCAATAAAAACTCCTAAGGTAAAATAATCTTTATCAAAAGCATCCGATATATTGTTTACAAGCTCAATATTGAGCTTGTAAACAATATATCGGATGCTTTTGATAAAGATTATTTTACCTTAGGAGTTTTTATTGATTTATCCAAAGCATTTGACACTGTCAATCATGAAACCCTTATAAAAAAAATAGAAATTTATGGAGTAAACAACTTAAACTTACTTTGGTTTAAAAACTACTTGACGGTAATATTACCGTCATTAATATTACACGCGGTAATATTACCGCGTGATCCGTAAATGATTTTTTTAAACCCAAATTGTTTGTTGTACAGAATATTATTTGATACTAAATGATTATGAAGCCTATTGTACATAATGCGTTCTAGCAATTTAGAGAAACAAGGTTATACAGAAATAGGTCTGTAGTTTGAAACATTTGATTTTTCACCTGACTTAAAAATCGGTGTGACTTTGGCTATTTTAAGTTTGTCTCGTACAATACCAGACGTTAATGACAGATTAAAAATGTGAAACAATAAGGGTTCAATAATATCAAAGACTGATTTAACTACATTGACACAAATTTTATCTATGCTTGCACTTTTATTATTTTTCAGAGAGGAAAAAGCATTATGCAACTCACTTATATTTAAATTTAGTTCTGTCATAACATTATTTGCTGTTTTGAGGTAAGTTTCAAATTTTATGGTACTAGATGGAATTTTTTCCGCCAGATTTGAACTGATCTCATGAAAAAACTGTTTAGCTTGTCAGCTACGGTTTCTTTATCATAAACAACTTTTTTATCAATTAACAGTTTTTGTGGCAAATTGTTTTTAATCGAAATACTTTTGTCAATTATTTCTTTATTATATTCCAAGTTTTTTTTGTATTTACATTACTTTTTTCCAATAGCTTTTCATAATAATTATAGCTTTTCATAATAAGATTTTTTTGAAAACCTTTTGGTAAACAAATTTTTGTAGTTTTTGTATATTATTTCATTATGATATGTTATATGTCGTAAATATTTTTCATATAGTTTTTTTTTTCTTTGAAGATTTAATTAAACCTTTTGTCATCCACGGATTCAAAATAGACTTAGAATTTAAATTTTGATCGATTAAACGAAATGCCTTATTATATTGTTTACTAAAAAACGCGAGGAATAATTCATAAGCATTATTTGCATTTTGTGTTTTATACACTAAGTTCCAATCAACAGAATTTTTTAACAGATGGCGAAAATGTGCTAAGGAGTTTTCATTGATTTGACGGACCAATAGTTTGATTTTATGGAATTGTTTTTTAATGTTATGTTTTTAGTGGTTAAAAAGATAGGAAAATGATCACTTATGTCAGTTTTAATTATGCCTGTTCTTATGCAGCATTTGTAAAAATTGTTTGTTATTAAGTTGTCGACTAATGTCGACTAATGTCTTTGTTATTCTTGTTGCCTTATTTATTGTTGGAATAAAATTATATTGCAAAATGGTGTCAATAAAGCATTTAGGATCATTTTTTGATGGATAATTTAAAATGTTTATGTTAAAATCTCCTACTAAGTATAAATGTATCCGATTTTTACTGGTTTGGGTTAGGAAATTTTTAATGTGAGCTTTGAAATTTTTTAAGTTTCCAGCTGGTTGTCTATAAATAGAGTTTACGAAAATGTTTTTATCCTTTTTATTTATTATTTTAATGCATAACGACTCACAATCTGTTTCATTCACGCAAAGATCATTACGCTGAATAAAATTTAAAGAGTTAAGAATAAAAATGCTCACCCCACCACCAGCATGTTTATGACGCGATTGATGAACTGGTGCGTAATTGGCTAATTCAAAACGTGCGTTTTTTTTCAATGTTTTTAAGCTACTTTTCTGTAAGGCAGATAATTTTAAAATCGTGTTCGAAGTTATGCAAAGTTTTCAAAGTTTTTACTCATACTCCGAATGTTCAGAATTAAAATTGAGAAAGCACTATTTGTTCTGAGAAAGAAAATGAGTAGATTCAGAAATTGAAAAATAATCAGTTTCAAAGCTTTTTTCACAAAAAATTTTTTTATTATCATTATCACTTAGCTTTAAATCTTCGTAGTTAAATTTTGTAGAAAAGTTATTCTCCATTTTAAAAACATAAAATTTAAAATAAAATAAAGGAAGAACAAGGTAATATATATACATGAATAAAAAAGAGTTAAAATATAACGAACCTAATTCATTTTTTCGATTGGAGGCCCAATCACGTATGATCAACCTACCGTTTGATATGACAGTGTATTTCCCAGATGCTCGTTCTGCTTTCATCTTTTCTTTTAAAGCTCTTCTTATTTGTGTGGTCTCCGGACAAAAGTCTTCATTGATGAAAATGTTTTTTCTTTTCAGATGAAAAGATTTTTTAAGAATTTCTGTTTTATCTTTGAAATCCAAGAGTTTTAGCACGATCGTTCTTGGCTTTTTTTCACCTTTCTTGCCAGTTCTGTGAGCTCGTTCTATTTTAACATTCTTTACATCTAGATAATCTCCCAGCAAACTCGCCATGCTTGCTCCATGGATGGACCACCATCGGTGCCATGACTGGCCCACCATCGGCCGACAAGCATGGCCCAAGCCAAGTGTTGCTCACTGTTTAATGCATGGTCCATGCATGGCAGCCGTTTTTCGACCAGCGTTTAGCCGTTGCTTTGCCAGTGCTCATTTTTATGTTAGTTTTGGTTCATTTTTTATTTGTTTTATTTATTTTTAACTTTTAACCGGCGTTTATCAGTTGCATAGCTATTGCTCATATCTATTTTAATTTTGCTTTATTATTATTATTATTTGTTTATTTTATTTATAACTTATACTTAGCACATAAGAGAGTTTAAATTAAGAGGAATTCCTTGTTTTTCCTTCGCTCAAAGATGTAATAAATTGTCGGTGGAAAAATATGTTAATGTTTACCTAACTCAAAAAAAGTATACGCGAAAACATATAATTAATGAGATATTTCAAAATATTATAAAATGGAATCTAGAAAATTATGTCCACCGTTTTTGCAATACGTTATTTATTGATAAATTTTTTAGATTTCAATAAAAGTTAACTAAAATACAATTCATATTCATATAAAGGTTTAAGATGAGTAAAAGCTTGGCCATCATTTCTTTAACCGTCATTTATTCGTCATTATGGTGCTAACTATCAATAATCTTCTACTTCACGTTTTAAAGCAATCTTTCTCGCATTTTAAACTGCTCCTGATAGATCTAAAATAAAACAATTAGGCCGATCGTAATAAAAGACACATTGTAAAAAAACTAACGCCAAAATAACAAAAAGTATATAACGCCAGATCTGGCGTTAACATCAACTCGAGTTGAGCAAATATAACACTAAATATAACGGCAGACGTGCCGTTATATTAGCGTTATATTGAGAAAAAATAAACTAACGGTTGAAGCGTTATATTTGCTGTTATATTTATTTTACTAATCCAACATTAATAAACATATTATTGAAAAAAAATTAAAATGTTTGGAAATAGTAATTATATTTATATGATATTAATCATTTACAGTCATTTTGAAAAGATATACCATTACCATTGCTAATAGATGGTGATGCCGCTAAAAAATGCAAAATATAAAACATAGTTATCAAACGACATCTAAAAAATTAAAATATGTAATAGCCTTATGAAAAGGTCTTTTACAATCATTTTGAAAAGATATAACTTTACCATTGCTTTTAAGTTTGGATGTACCTTAGGAATACGAAATAAAAAGAATAATAAACATATAACCTCTTTAACAATTAATATAATCATTTTGAAAAAAAAACAACCTTATTAAGGTTACCAGATGTCAATATCATTAAAGACTACAAAACGAAAAAAGTACATATAACTTAACCACTGATACTAAATGCTGTTGCCCCTAAATACTACAAAATAAACAATAACTTAAAAAAACATCTTCTTTTACTTAGTCATTATTAACCATTTTGAAAAGATACAAACTTACCATTGCTACCAGATGCCATTAAAGACTAAAAAATGCAATAGATAAAAAGAAAAAAACATCTTTAGAACGTCATTTATAATGAATTAAAAAAGATATAATCTGTAAAGTACATAAAATCATTTGATTGGTTATATACAGCTATTTCAAAAAGATACTTTAGAACGTTACCATTGCTACCAGATGTTGATCTCACTAACAAATACAAAAACAAAAAGAAAACAAGCAGACAACCTCTTCAAAATATATGGAAAATATACTTGTAGTTAAAAGGTGCTTGTGACATTACCACTGGTACCAGATGTCGATGCGTATAAAGTCTATATACTTGAAGATACATATAAGTTATTTAGCACAATAAGTAAGCATTAACTAATAACTAACAAGAATCAGAAAAAATTTATTAAACTTTTATAACTAGGATATATCTTTTATGGCTTCCTTTCTAAAGTATCTAATGATTACGTAGCTTTAGCATGTCGCATTTTTTAATCATCTATAATCTATAACATCTATAATCATCTATAATAATCTATAAATAGCAACACAAAAAAATATTAAACAAAAAGCATTAAAATACGTTAGTTGCAATAAATATATATTTTAAATATAGCTTTAAAATATAAATACATAAAAATAAATATAAATACATACAAGTATGTATTTGTTAATAAATGTATGCAAGTTTTTAACCAGTGCACTGGTCAAAAATTTTATGATTTTAAAAAGAAATATGTTAAAATGAAGAAAACCTTTCATTACAATCCATGCAAAATTTAAGGTATTAACCAAAAAAATAAATTTCAAAATTCAAAATTTCAAAACAAATAAAGTCCACGCCTTAATCCTGCATGTATTGTATGTATGTATGTATAGTAAAATATAAAAGTATGATACTATAAAAAAAATGTTATACTTAAGTGATGAAAGTAAAATATAATATATCAAAGAAAATTCAACAGTTTTGAGTTAAAGTTTTTAAAGCACGTTGTGCGCGGCCACCATTTCTGTCCGGAGCTTGCATCAGCCACCTTTTTATGCACTTCTCAACATCTGCATTACTTCCTCCTTTTTCATGCTTTTGAACTGCAACTGTTAAATTAAAAACAAGATATATGGGATCAACTTAACTAACCACAAAATAAATGAATATTATTGTACTTACTATATACTATGCCAGGAATTTTTTTTAACTTTCCAAAGACGTGTTTATTTTTGAATTTATCACTCCAATTCATTTTTAGTGCTAGTTCATGACATACTAGCTGGTTCATTATGTTATATGTAATTGATTTCAAATTGCTCCCACCAATTACACTAAGCAACCTTGACTAATATAATATTTATATAACTACAGATAGATAATATATATATATATATATATATATATATATATATATATATATATATATATATATATATATATATATATATATATATATATATATATATAAATGTATATATATATAAATGTATATATATATACACATATATATATATACATATATATATATATATATATATATATATATATATATATATATATATATATATATATACATATATATATATATATATATATATATGTATTTATATATATGTATATATATATGTATATATATATACATATATACATATATATATATATATATATATATATAATATATATATATATATATATATATATATATATATATATATATATATATATATATATATATATATATATATATATATATATACATATATACATATATATATATATATATATATATATATATATATATATATATATATATATATATATATATATATATATATATATATATATAATATATATATATATATAAAGCGCGGATGCAGTATTTTTTGATGTTTGAGATACCTAACTTCCAGACATGGAGCAAACTCCAAAAATATGTTTATATTTATATCAAATAAGGATGCTTTTCAAAAAATTGCGATGATTGGAGCCGGGAAACAAAACAGCCTTAAAATTTTAGCTACACCTGTGCCAAACGTGAGAGTAACTAGTTGATAAAATATTTTTTCTACTATTCTCAACCAAGTATACATTCATCGTTAAATTTTAAAATTCATACAATAATCTCTTAACGTTCAACAAATATGGCCTAATAAAATTTGCAGCCCTCAAACTGAGGGGAAGGGGTTCAAACATTTTAGGGTCATAGTTTTTGAATGCTAAAAGATTATTGTGTGAATCTTAAAATTTATCGATGAATGTATACTTGGTGGAGAATAGTAGAAAAAATATTTTATCAACTTGTTACTCTCACGTTTGGGGCAGGTGTAGCTAAAGTTTTAGGGCTTTTATATATATATATATATATATATATATGTATATATACTACTGTAGTTGTAGTATATATACTACTGTAGTATATATATATACTGTAGTATATATATATAGTATATATATGTATATAGTATATAGTATATATATGTAGTATATATATATAGTATATATATATATATACTGTAGTATATATATATAGTACTGTAGTATATATATATTGTAGTATATATACTACTGTAGTATATATACTACTGTAGTATATATACTACTGTATATGTATATATTCTACTGTAGTTTGTAATTTTTAAACGGTTTTTTATATTTTTGATTTTGTACTCCATGGCTGATGATTGCCGATAGGCATGAAACTTTAAGTTCCATTATAAGTTGTTTTTTCTATATTTAAGTATATGTATATATATATATATATATATATATATATATATATATATATATATATATATATATATATATATATATATATATATATATATATATATTAATTTATTGTATCTGTTAATCTTATTTATTATACATATATTATCTGCTATTATAAAACATGATAATTACATTAACTATTTAAAATTCTTAATACTATACATTTTTTATGATTTACTAGTTAATTATTATATCTTTTGTTTTTTAATTATATTATATTTATTTATTTTTGATTTATACCATACTTTATAAATTATTGCTTTGTTTTTAACATATACTTTACATGGCAATTAAGTACCATTATAAGCTCTGCAATAAAGCAGCGGACAATCATCAAAGAGGCATTTTATGCTATTGTTGTTCTTCCTGGTTTTATGCTAAATGCAATTTAATCAACAAATCTTCGTATAAACTTGTCAAAGACTCTTTTGACTGGTATTGTAGTGACAGCATAATTAAAAATATGCCATTTTTGGCATATTCTTAATTATGCAGCACACTTTCGGACTTCTAAAGAATTTTTTTTAACTATATTATGTCAGACTCTTCAAACTTGTACCTTAAATTCTTTAGAAAGTCCATTACAATTCAAAAATTTATACGTAAACAATTCATTACTTATACGCATTATATACGCCAAAATTTGTATTTAAGTTTTTTTATTATTTTAATCAAAATTATAATTTAAAAAAAAAAGCAAAAAAAAAATTATTTTGGCTACGCCAGCGTGACGCTCCAGTCACCCGTGCACCCTATGCAACCACATAATTTGCATGGCCATTGCGCCGGCACTGAATATTGGTCAGAAAAGGTTTCTCAGTTGCCAAGATATGGCTAACATAATAATTTTTTTCAGTATATAAATTTACTAAGTTAAATTAGTTTTGTCGGTACTATTTGACACCACGAATAATAAATAACTATATTAAAAAAAAAAAACTAGTAAATACCCTGTTTATCTTGCTTTTAAATATGTTTTTTTTAAAAAATATATAAAGAAGCTTCTGTCTAACACCACAGAATAATATGGGAGGATAACGTATTTGTTGTCTTAGTTTTCAGTGACCCATTCAAATTGAGGGGAATTTAAACTTTTTATGGTGATTTTGAAAATGGTGAGATAATAGTAAGAAACTTAGAATTTATTGATGAATATAAATCTAACTAAGAATAATACAAAAAAATTTTTTTCAACTTGTTGCCCCTCACATTTAGGGTGAAGTCTGAGGGTTTTTTCGTTTCCAGCCTCCAATCACCGCAAATTTTTTGCGCAAAGCCTTATTATTTGATATAAGTATAAACATACAAATGTTTGAAGTTAGCTCCAAGTCTGGAACTTAGCTTTCTTAATCACAAAAAGTACTTGATCCGTCACTGTTAGCCTTTAGATTTTCATACCAGCATAGATATTATTTAAAAAGTAGATTAGTTGAACTTGTTTTGTTTGTAGATTAAAATAAAAAATAGATTGAATTTGTATTGTTTTAGTTTTATTACAACATTTTTTTATTACAATACTTTTTACAACTTTTTTTTAAATTTGATTTCTTGTCGGTTTGTTTATTTTTTATTTTTTACTCATATTTTTTTTTTATTATTATTATTTTTTTAATTTTACATTTGTTGGTCGTATTACAACTATATATTGCCAAAAAAAATAATGATAATAATAATAATACTTTCACAAATATAAAATATGGTATCTAAAAGAAGATCAAAGGATCTTGTCGTCAGAACCTTAAATAACTTCAAACAAGCATTAACAGCATCAAATTTTTACAAATTTTATATATATATATATAATCCAAATATATATTATATAATCCAAAGAGAGATTACGCGGATCAACTCAACAATATTTTATATAAACGTATACGTTAAGTAAAGAATATAAAAAATCAACAAAATACGTAATTATAAACTTTTTACAAATGTAAATAAGAAAAGACAAAGTTATTAATTCATATTATTAATAATAACATAATACGTCATCTAATGGAAAAATTAGGGTTTTTAATTTACTTTAAAAAAACAAAAAGTAATGGGTAGTTTGAAGTCAAAATTGGGCAAAACAATTTTATTCCAAAGGTGTGGTGCCCGATAGGCAATACAAAATTGATTAAAGTTCGTTTGATAGAAAGGTTCATTTAAAAAATCAATATTTCTCAAATTGTATATGTTGATGGGTTTCGGAGACAGATTAAGACAAGTCATTTTTCCACATGTATACAAAGCATAAAACATTATATATATTTAGCTCGTATATATTTAAAATTCTCATTTCAATAAAATAATGTTTTGCGTGAGAAAAGCGATTTGCAAAGCAGATTAAACGGATAGCATGTTTCTGACGGCGATAAAGACGTTGCAACTTATACAATAAAGTTTGATTAAAATTTTCTTATTGAGGTAGATTCGTACTTTATATAAAACTCCTATGTTTTTTGAAATTTTAGTGCTTATGTAGTCGATATGATGATTCCAAGTGATGTTTTCATCAAAATAAACACCTAAAATTTTTGTTACGGAATCCCTTTTTATTTCATTTTGATCAATAAAAATTTTAGGTAAGTTTAATGACAAATACCGTTTTTTGGAAAGCGAATGGAATAATGTCCACTTTGTTTTATTAGAATTTAGAGTTAAACTTACTACATTTAAACCAACTCGATACATGTATAAGCTCTTCGTTCATTGTTTTAAAAAGTTCAAAGATATCACTGTTAGAAAGGAATAAGTTAGTATCATCTGCAAACATAATACTTGTTAGCTTTATTTGAATCATTAATATAAATTAGGAAAAGGAGTGGACCAAGAATTGAGCTTTGTGGAACTCCACATGTTATAGAAAAGCAATTGGTATGATAACCGTCATTACTCGGAACAAATTGTTTACGATTTGACAAATAGCTTTCAAACCATTTTATTCCATAGTGTTTAAGTTTATAGATTAGAATTTGGTGATCAACTGTATCAAAAGCTTTTGATAGATCAATAAAAAACCCTAGAGTATATTGTGATTTTTCAAATGATTTTGAGATTTCACGCACAAATTGGATAATTGCATTTTCAGTTGAGCTATCCTTTTTAAAACCGAATTGATTAATGTAAAGTAATTTATTAACATGAAAATATTTGTATACTCTGTTATATATAATTCTTTCTAAAACTTTTGAAAATGTGGAAAGAACAGAAATAGGGCGATAGTTACTAATAATTGATTTTTCCCCTTCTTTTAAAATAATTTTGGCAATTTTTAACAGTTCGGGTAAAACACCTTGATGGATAGAAGCTTTAAAAACTTTAAAAAGAACAACTTCTAGCTGTTTAAAACAATCTATAATAACGTTTCCATTTATTTGATCTGCTCCAATTGCTTTATTTTTTTTAACGATTTGAAGGCTCTTTAAAACTCTTCAAACATTAACTCAGAAGACAACTCAACTAAACCAATGCAATTATTAATGGGTACTAGAAAATCAGTAAACAAAGACTTGGTCTCAGGGATTTTTTTAGAAAGTGTTGGACTTATATCGATAAAAAATTTTTAAATTCTTGAGCTATAGTTCTTGGTTCGTATAAACTTTTGTTATCGACTGTAACCATTTGTGGCAGAAAACCTGAGCATGATTTTTGTTTTCCAATAATTTCATTCATTCTTTGCCATGTGCGTTTTGTGTCATTTTTAAATGTACTGAGTAATTGGAAGTAATAGATTTTTGCGAATTTTTTCAAATAGGTTTTTGTAGTCTTTTTAAATTTTTTCGTTTTTAGGTGTTTTTGTTTTCAAAAAATTTATATATAGTTTTTGTTTAATTTTGGACAATTTATTGAAGCCCTTAGTGATCCAGGGTGTATTGCAGCTATTAGTAGTTATTCTATTTTCAATGATTGGGAAATTAGCATCGTATACAGAAAAAAATATTTTGAAAAAAGACTCATAGATATTGTTAGCATTATCATTAAAATTTATGTTATTCCAGTGCAGTAATGAAAGTTGATTTTTGAATAAGTTAAGGTTAGCCTCATTATAAATGCGTTTTCAAATTACTTTTTGTGCGGTTAAAGTTTTTTCAGAGTTTGTGTAATCTAATTTTAGGAATATAAGGAAATGATCTGATATATCGGTTCGCAAAATACCTACTGTTAAATCATTGTTAAAAATATCTGAAGTTGTTATATTATCTATTAGAGAAGCTGAATTTATCGTTGCTCTTGTAGGTTTGTTTATTTAAGATATTGAACCCGTTTCAAAAATTTCATCATAAAAATTTTTAACTTTAAAGTTATCATTATAAAAAAAACAATTCATGTTTAAATCTCCAATTATAAAATTTTGCTTTTTTTCAACTTTTTCTTTTTTTTTAATGATTTGTTGTAAAAACATGGTAAGGTTTTCGCTCACGCCATCAGGTGGCCGATAACAACAGCTTAGTAAAATTTATTTTTGTTGCAGTTAGTAATTTCTATAGTTGCAATTTCTTTATCGCAATCAGAAACGCTTAAATCATGCCTAAAACAAAGCTCAAAATTTTCGTGAACATAAATTAAAAATTTGGTGTCTTCGCTAAAATAAAAAAGACGTCAGCGGTGATAATAAATGAAATCGTTTAAAAAAGTAGTTAAAACAACGCAAAACAGACTTGAATTTAGCATAAATAAAAGAAATCGTTAAGAAAAGTAATTAAAACAAACAATAAAAAACAAACTTTTACTGTTTTAGTACGGTGTAAATAAATAAAATCGCTGTTGAATAGTTAAAAAAAATATATAAAAAAACTTTTTAAAAAAACATTTTGAAAATGAACTGAAAAGTGAATATATATATATATATATATATATATATATATATATATATATATATATATATATATATATATATATATATATATATATATATATATATATATATATATATATATATATATAACATATATATAACATATATATATATATATATATATATATATATATATATATATATATATATATATATATATATATATATATTTATATATATATATATATATATATATATATATATATATATATATATATATATATATATATATATATATATATATATATATATATCAATTATAAAACCGTGGTGCACAATTATAACCTCGTTATCTAAATTGAACCAAAAGCCATCAAAAATAGCAGTAAATTCTTTTTTTAGTTAAATTTATAACATTTTAAAACAACAAAATACATTCTAACAAATACCGAAAGGAATTATGCTCTGCGAAGAAGAAAATAATCGAAGATCGAAGCCCACAGGTCATTGGGTTTATCAAACAGGAAAATTTCTTGCAAACTGAGGCGCTCACAACGTTTGATCAATATTTGGTAAATGATCTAACAAATTATAACACGAAGCATCGAAGTGGTAGAAAATCTATTCTTGCAGCTCGCCAACAGCGACAAATTTTGCAAGCCGCTAGTAATCTTCGCGAGACAAATAGATGCTAATTTAGGATTGAAATGATCAAAATGAACTGTGAATCGTGTAATTAACAAGTCAGATATTCTTAGATATGCAAAAAAAAGCGCACATCTCCAGCACTAACTAAAGCACACAAACGCATTCGTCTTCAATGGGCCAAATACTACATGACTTGGGAAAAATAATGACAAAAAATTGTATGGTCCGATGAAAAAAAAATCAATCTTGATGGTCCAGATAGCTTCAATTACTACTGACATAACGTTAAAAAAGAGAAAATATTTTCAAGAAGAAGGGCTATGGGAGGCGGAGAAGCAATGATTTGGGGTGCGTTCAGTTATTTTGAAAAAACTTTGATTTGCTATATTACTATAAAATTATTGCTGAAGGATATACAAATTTGTTGAATGGTCATTTAAATGATATTTCGCAAAATTTTGGTAACACCAATTTATTTTCCAGAAAGAAAACGTTCTAAATCATAGGGCAAAGTCGAATATCTCATGGTTTACCAGCAAGAAAATTGGTCAGCGCTCTCACCTGATTTAAATCTCATCGAAAATGTATGGGGCATCTTAGCAAGATGTGTTTATGCAGAAGGGAAACAATATTTGAATGTTGAGGAATTAAAAAAAGCAATTGTTTGGAAGATCATATCTCTTGCAGATCTTAGAAAACATTTGGAAAGTATGCCAAATTGAATATTTGAAGTTATTCAGAAAGACGACAATAAAACAAAGTATTAATAATAAATTCAAATTGCAATACAAAACATGATGGAATTTTTGTAGACTAAAATTGAAATGAGGTTTTAATTTTGCACCATCATTTTTCTAAAAATTAACAAAATGAAATCAGACTCTATTTCAAATGAAATATTAATTAAGGAAGATATTAGGCAATTGAATAGTTAAAAAATATTTATTTAATTATTTGTGAAATCTTGAATTTTGGCTAAGGTTATAAATTTACACTGCACTGTATATAAAAATAAACTATTTCACGGGACCCAAGGGCTATGTGTACGTACACAACCTGAATTATTGTTAAAGTCAATGACTGAAAGTATTGGATGCCAATAGAAACGAGTTGTACTTAGTTGCCCAACATTTTCATTGACCTTAATGATATTTCGGGTTGTGTACACACAGTCCTTGGGTCCTTTTTTTTACTTTTTACTGCAGTTTTTAGACTAAATAATATTTTAAAAACAACATCAAATGTTGTTTTTACCGGTTTTTGCATTTAATCTGGTGGATTTTTGCACAAATTTGGCTGTTTTTTTCATTTAATCTGGCGGTTTTTTGCATTTAATCTGGCAGTTTTTTGGATTCAATCTGGTGGTTTTTCTTTACCATGATAAACAGTTTTGTTTTTATTGCTTTATTTAATTTAACTTCCTTATGCACAATTCAAGCCCTTTATCTCTTAAATTTTTTAAAAATTTAAAATGAATAACGCACGAAAAAAATGTTCAAAGAATAATGCTGAAGTGAGAAATTTGATCATTAGTCTTGTAATTAACGAAGGATAAAGTGTAAATGAAGTATCGGAACTCGTGCATAGAAGTGAGACTTCAATATGACGCCTGGTCCATCGGTATTTATCAACAAGCAATATCAATATTGGTATTAGAAGTGGTTTTCGATAGCCAGGTTGTACTGAGGAAATAAGAAATAAGCTACACGAATTGATTGGAGATAACAAAAACTATAATCTACAGGAGTTAAAGGTAGAACTGGGGGACTTGATATCAATGTCTCTACATTATGGCGATGGTTAAAAAAATTGAATTATACATACAAAATATTAAGAACCGTTAGTAAAAGACGCAATACTGCAGAGGTAAAAGAAGAAAGAAAAATATTTGTTTCATAGTATTTAAACTTGACATTGCAATAACGCTACAGATATATCATTTAGATCGATGAAAGTCAGTTCAATCTTCATATGATAAGAAACCATGGATACAGTCTCCAAGCAACAACCCCAAATCAACGTGTGTTATGATCAAGAAGCTGTTACATAACTTTGATATTAGCATTAAATTGTTTAAACATAGTCCACTGTGAAGCAGTAATTGGCGTAGGGGTGACAGCAGAAATCTATAAAGGATTCTTAAATATGCTTAAAAGTATTTTGGGAGAAGAAGAAGAGTTTACCTTGGTGATGGACAACGTTAAGTTTCATCATTCATTATCAGATTTTTATCATAATCATTCATTATCAGATTTTTATTGAATTTTTATGATAGTTATCCCTATGAAATTCGTTTTTTACCCCGATACTTATGGTGAGTTTCCACTCATCCGTTTTCAACGGGAAAGAGAAAGGGAACGGAAAAATAATCACGCGAGCATGCTCGGACAAATAAAAACTTTTATTACGCACGCTCACGTGATTATTTTTTCCTTTCCTATCCCGTTCCCGTTGAAAAACAGATGAGTGGAAACTCGCCTTTACCTTTTCTAAATACTTGTGAAGAGACTCTCGAAAATTAAGAATACTACAAGAGGACAAATAGCTCTGATCGGAAATAACGATTTGTTAGAACGAATGAAGAGCGGTTGTGAGCACGTTGCTGAACATGATCTTTCAAACTTCGTGAGACACTGCGAATCTTTTCTCATACAATGCGTTTATGGAGATGACATTAATAGAGAATAAAGTAAAAATTTTTTAAAACTTATTTTTTCGAACTTGTATGTTATACAAGGCCGGCGCGATAGGGGGGTGTAACACCCCCCCCCCATCAATGACTTTTAGCCGGCAAATTTGACCCTTAGTCGGCAAATGTAACCCTTTTTGACTAGTTAGTCGGCAAATGTAGACCCTGTCGATAGGTTGGTCGGTAAAAAAAATGGCCGACTGACTTTACCGACCAACCTATCGAAAAAAATGAGGAACTTTTTTTTTTTTTTTTTAGACGGCAAAAGTTGTAATAGAACCCCCCTGCACGTGACCCCTACTCGCACCGGCTATGATGTTATATATATATATATATATATATATATATATATATATATATATATATATATATATATATATATATATATATATATATATATATATATACATATATATATATATATATATATATATATATATATATATATATATATATATATATATATATATATAAATATATATATATATATACATATATATATATATATATATATATATATATATAAATATATATATATATATATATATATATATATATATGTATGTATATATATATATATATATATATATATATATATATATATATATATATATATATATATATATATATATATATATGTTTCTTGTTTTGTATTAAATGGTTGATGATTGCCTTTAGGCATGAAACTATTAGTACCATAAAAAGTTGTTTTCTTTATTTTTATAAATTAATTAATATATATATATATATATATATATATATATATATATATATATATATATATATATATATATATATATATATTTATATATGTATATATATCTATCTATCTATCTATCTATCTATCTATCTATCTATATATATATATATATATATATATATATATATATATATATATATATATATATATATATATATATATATATATATATATATATATATATATATATATATATATATATATATATATATATATATATATATATATATATATATATATATATATATATATATTTGTTACACATCTAAATTTATTCTTAACGGGAGTATGTAGAATATTTATTACTAATAATAATTTATGCAATTCATAACATGCATTTTAAAATTGATATAAATTTTAAATCCGCCAGATTAAATGCCAGATGAAATGAAAAAAACCATCAGATTAAATGCAAAAACCGGTAAAATATTATTTTAAAAATATTTTTTATTCTTATAGTTACTAAGGTTTTTATCGACTTTTCTTTTGTTTAATATTCTTTGTTTAATATTCTTTAACCTTTTGTTTAATATTGCTAAAAAGCATTTTTCAGGTCTTGTAAAGAAGCGTTCGCAAAACACCTTAATACTTTAAGTTTTACAAAAACTTTAAATTTTGTTTTGGTATCATTTAAGTGACGTTTGGTATCATTTAAGTGACATATTTAAAATATATCAAACCATAAACAAACAAAACAAAATAACTAGCGTAAGGTTTGTGCTCTAAAAATAGTTTTTTTTTTTTTTTTAAACAAACAAACATATTGACGTCACTAAAACGATACGCTTTAATGAAATGATCTTTAAGGAAACTGTTTAGTTATTATATTTTTTTAATTAAAACTTTTTTGACTAATTATAGTTTTGAAAATTAAAAGTTTAAACTTAGTTTTAGAGGAATGTAAAATAGTTTCGCAATATTTATTAGAGTAGAAATTTTTTTCTTTTTATTTGCTAACTTAATTCACTGGATAAAAACTTAAAAACCTAAGTCTCTCCATCATTTATCATTTAAAAAAAGCAATTTAAAAATTTTGTTTTGCTGCGATGTAAGAAGATTAAAAGTAAGAGGTATAGAGAATTCGTATGGATTTTTTCAGGGCCGACGACACGGGTTTTGAAATAGTGGTGGTGGTGGTGGGGGGAGGGGGGGGGTTCAAAATCATCAATTTGTGAAAAAAGTTTTCTATATCTACATTTTTCTTTAAAAAAAAAGTGCTATAAAAAAAAGTGAGTGTGCGGGGGGGGGGGCGGGTACATCCTTAGCCTTTCCCCTCCCCCCCTCCCCGTGTCGTTGGCCCTGTATTAATTCAATATTATGTAAATTTTTTATGATGCAAGTAATATTTTATAAGTTTATAATTTACTATCTTACTATTGACTGAAAAAAATCTATCAATAAATTGTTTATAATCTTTATTAAAAATAGTTCACGAAATACGTAAAGAAAAAGAATAGAAAACTAAAAGGTGAGGAAACAAAAGATTTTTATATAACGTATAAGTTTTGAGAAATAAATTCTTATTATATAGGAAATCTTATTCAAATACCGATATTAGATTCAAATACCAATATTAGATTTAAATACCGATATTAGGTTGCATCAGTAATTTTTGTTTTAAGTAGCGTTTACCCGGAATTTCATTTTGAGGTAAAAAGAAACTTTTTCATTTTCGGTCTCCGCTTAGACACATTCATACACGTTTGCAAGATTAAAATCATCTTTGCGCAAATTTTCAGATAAGATTGTTTTAGGTTAATTAATTATCCTTGAAATCATTTTTGAAATCAGTTTTTTAGTAAAATAAACACAAAAAGTTAAAATTTTTAAGTAATAAATAAAATAAATGGAAATAAGAAGAGTAATATAAGAAAAGTTAAGAGAAAATTCTCTTGGAACAAGTTCCAGAAAGAAAAGTTAAGAGAAAATTCTCTTGGAACAAGTTCCAGAAAGAAAAGTTAAGAGAACATTCTCTTGGAACAAGTTCCAAAAAGAAAAGTTAAAAAAACATTCGCTTGGAACAAGTACCAGAAAGAAAAGTTAAGAGAACATTCTCTTGGAACAAGTACCAGAAAGAAAAGTTAAGAGAACATTCTCTTGGAACAAGTTCCAGAAAGAAAAGTTAAGAGAACATTCTCTTGGAACAAGTTTCAAAAAGAATACAATAAAGCAAATGAAATCTTTACTATAAAAATCATGTAGTGCTAAAATTTTTAGCAAATTTTAAATGAAAAACAATACTTAGGTGATTTAAATTTGATTTAGTATTTCTCTGTTTTCAAAGAAATATTGTTGCAAGTTGGTAGATGCCCAGATAGTCAAAATTGAGTAAACAAAATGACGATTCAAAGGGAATAGGATTTTCATACAAATTGAAAATCAAATATTTATCTTGTTTATATGAATAGTGCACTTTTAAAAGTAATACTGTGGAAAAAAACACCCCAAATAAAGGGATGAATGGTTAAGACATTAACTTAAAAACGATTGATGCTTTTTGGAGCAGTTTTCACTGTACCAATTCCAAACGTCAATTGAAACGTCATGTTTTATACTTTGCACAACCCTGAAAATTAGTGTAAGTAGAAAAAATTAAAAGGTGAACTACAAACAACTATAAACTAAAAATTAATCTACCTAAATGTTGGTCCATGAATAAATGGGTCCATGAAATAAGGTAATTTTAAGGATTTAAATGATGACCAATTTGTGAAAAGGTGTTCACGGAGAATCAAAAATATGCAATGATGGGATTAATGATGAAATTTGGTCTAAATGTCCCAAAAATGTGTTTATGAAGAAATGTACCCACATATCAAAGTAAATTCAGCTGTATAATTATTCAAAGAAGGAACATCTAGTCTTAAACGTGTTTTTGAATATTTTAATATACCACACAGTGTTAAGATTGTAACCGGTTTATTGAAAAAGTACTGGTGTGTTAGTAATATAGAAAAAAATCATAAAAACTTTCAATAAAAAAAAAAATCTATTAAAAAAAATTATCTAAAGGCTAATTTGATAAAGAACAAGAATTTGGTGGTATGCTTTTAAGAAGTTTTTTGACTGTTATTTATTTTTTGTTTTTCAAATGTTGTTTTCTCAGTTTGTCATTATTCACTAATTACCTTTACGTGGAACAAGATATTTTAATATTGGTTTAAGATATGGAGCTAAAATTTTCAGCATTTGCAGGAATCAGAGACTGAACTAAAATCAAGACATAAGGTACTCTATTTACAGTGTTATTATTCATTGTTCATGATTTTGTCATGTAAACCCCCCGAAAAGTATAAGTCCTAGCAAATTTCAAAAATTGGTTTTTCTTCTTTTGCTATGAACTTCATTTTAGTTAAGGAACTAGATAGTACAAGTAAGATTATCTGTGCAAAGGTTTTAGTGAAATAAACATTTTGTGTTTGAATTTTCTTGTTTCGTTCATGTGTACAGTTTTAGGCCTTTTTTGACTAAAATTCGATACTTTTTACAAAGGTTTTTAAAATTTCAATTTTTTTTTTGTTAAATAGTTACTAAAATTCGTTACTGGAACTATTTTATTTAATACTCTAAAATAAAAAATTCAATTTGAGAAAAAAAAATTATTTCGTGGTAAACCACCTTAAAGATCTTTATTTAAGAATTTTTCATTTCGCTATGTCAGAAAATTCCATGCAAACCGCGTTTGAACTACGTGCGTAGTTTTAACGCGGTTTAAACTTTAGTTTAATTACAATGTGGTACTTTAAAATACACTAATGACGCATTCGAAGTTTTAATTATATGCCCAAGCTGTGTTTAGTTTTGTAAGCATTTATAAGTTGTTTTTACGAAATCTCATAACGAAACCTGATTTTTAAATATAAACTATTTGTTTTTAGAAAGGCTGTGTAAAAATGAAAAACAAAACCTACAACACTAGTTTTTCAAAAGAGTTGTATGATGATTATAAAAGTGCTGATAACAAAGAAGAATTCATAAAGGAGTATTTGGAAAAGGAAAAAGAAAATGGAGTTAATACTAAACTAGATTTTTATTGTTTACTTTTATGTCAAGCAATCGAAGAGCAAGACAAAAATATGGTTAAAGACATATTACAATTACATCAAGCAGAAAATTATCCACAATTATTAACAAATGTTAATAAACATCATATGAGTCCAATAGTCTTTGCTTTGCTTTATAACGATACCAATGATATAAAAGATATTATTCGGGATTTGTTAAACCAATTATTGAATGAAGGATATTATTTTCAAAAAGTTATCTTAACTAGAGAAGCCTTTTTAACAATGTATGACGTTATTAGTTTTCAAGGAGAAGCTTACATAGAATGCATAGATGACTTTTTGAAGCCTCTTGTGGTTGATGAAGAAGTATCTATAATGAGAGAAAAGGTTTCAGGTTTGATGTTACCAATGTTAAATAAGCTGAAATTTTTATAAATTGTTTGATGTTACGTATACGATTTAAAGTTACTTGCTACGTTATATACTTTTACGTTTAAATTGTTACATTATATATATATATATATATATATATATATATATATATATATATATATATATATATATATATATATATATATATATATATATATATATATATATATATATATATATATATATATAAATATATATATATATATATATATATTTTCTGAAGAGAATATATAATAAAAAAAACAACTTTTCTTTTTTAATTCGGCAGAAATTGTTTTGGCGTCCTTCCCACGTGACACCTACATACATACATACATATGCCATATGCATGTATTTATGTATGTATGTATGTATGTATGTATGTATGTATGTATGTATGTATGTATGTATGTATGTATGTATGTATGTATGTATGTATGTATGTATGTATGTATGGATGCATGCATGCATGCATGTATGGATGCATGCATGCATGTATGGATGCATGCATGCATGTATGTATGTAAGTACGTACGCACGTACGTACATACATACATATATACATAAATGAGAACAAGGCTATTTCAAAACAAAATAATGTTAAAATTATCTCTGAGTAATCAGGCTATTGATAAAACAAAGTATTACAACTTAAACATTAAACTTACTTTAAATAATGATACTATGTTTTTTGATAATTTTAGTTATCCATAGGTATTAACAATATTAAAATTATTTGGAACAGTATTGCTCTGTTGTTAGTAATTAATATCTATGGATGATTTAAATTATTAAAATATTTAATATCTATGGATAGTTTAAATTATTGAGAAAAAAGAGCATTGTTTTTCAAAGCCTAATTTCTTGGTAAATAATATTATTATTTGCAAATAATAAACTTATTATATGATAGTTTAAATTGTTTTGGTAGATCTTTTATTTTGTATTTTTATATAGAATTTAATTTTTGTAGTTTATTATTGCAAAAAGGAGGAATTCCATAAAAAATTCTTTGATACAACAGTTAATCTAAATGGAATGTTTTTCAAAAATCAGCAGAATTGTTATCTGTTGCTGTTGAAAATAGTATTACAATTCTTGAGATGAAAGCAAATTGTTCACATTGGTTTTAGCCATTAGATTGTACTGTTTTTGGTGTCTTATAAAATTTTCTACAACACTTGTTGTTCTAATTTAATCAATACTTGCTCTGTCAATGAGTTAAACTTTTTACATCAAGTATAAGAATGTTTTTATTTGTGCGAAAATGGTATCACAAATTCTCAATCAGAAATATCACTGAAAAAAACTAATAAAAAACAAGTGGGTTTTAATTCAAATTCATTATTTTTTTAATTATGTTAATGCAACCAAAACTGTACGCATCGAAGTTACAAATGTAGATTTATATCGACTAGATAGTCGAAATAAATTGACTAGATAAAAATCGATATAAATCGACTTATATCAACTAGACGTAGCAATGATGTATTTTTCATAGTTTTTTATGGAAAAGTTGTTGAGCTTTTGTTCACGTTTTTAAAATGTTCCTAATATTTCTGATAATTTGATTTTTATTTATAGATAGTTTTACTTTATTTTTGTTTATAAATTAACTAGAATGCAATCAATAGTATTTCTTGAATTTATTGAAGCAATTTCTTTATTTAATGAAACTGTTATTCCATATAGCAAATTAAGTGTTCTTGATTCAAGTCAATTATGTGATAAAACAAGACCATTGAAAAAAAAATTTAACAATTATTATGATGTTTTCTTATACTTTAGTGTATAAGAAATAAAAATGTTAAAACAAGAAGTTAAAATAAAATACTTTAGTTTAGCACTTCCATTATTTTATGAATGTGAAATTTTATGCTAAACTAAAGTACTTTGTTTTAACTTCTTGAAGCTATGCTAGACAAGTTGCATGAAAATACTACGAGGCATTTTTTAGACTCAATCACATATACAAAGTAAAGGGGGGGGGCCTTTACTTTGTATATGTGACATTTTAAACAATCCCTCCCTGCCCTATTCGTGATGTCACATTTTTAAACAAATATATCTTTGAACTTGTTACTTTTTTGCTTCAAGTTTAATAATCCGCTGTGATTAGAGTTTAAATTCACCACCAACACCTATTTAAGAATGTCACGTATCATTTGAATAGCCCCTATATTAAGTATATGATAAATTTTAAATCAATTAGCCTGGGGTTCTAAATGATGAACTTTTGCCTATAAATCACAGAAATGACATTGATTTCACCATACCTTGAGAAAACTTCCCGCACCTAAGACAGTTCCATATTTAACCATACAACACATAGCAGCCCAAAGGCTATTAACTATAATATGTCAACTTTATATACAATACACATGATAAATACATGAGAAATACACTGTCCTACAGCATTTGTAGTGATGTTAATAATCTTTCAGATTTGTGTATTAGTATTAATAAATTTAGAGTTAAAATATTTGTTTGTTCTGCAAGAAAAACGAATGTCCTCCATCAACTTTACAGCTCTCTCGGCTACTATGTTGGTTTGAGGCACATCAAGCACTGATGGTTCCTTCCTTCAGTGGATAGAGAAGCATTTCACAGCTTTGGAACACTTAAGTTGAGATATTGCTGACAGCAGGTCTTTATAAGCTGCCTCTGCATAGTGCTGGTTTGAAAACCAGGCCCGCGACCATGTAGTTGCAACGAAATCGCAAGTTATCCTCAGCTGTTCTCGCCGGTTTGGAAGAATGAAAAATGCAATAAGCGCAAAAAGACCTCTTGAGTTCCACCTGGCACTGTTGAGTGATGGCAGCTTGTGCCTATTAATACGAGGCCATTTTTTCTCATTTTTGTAAAACTTGTATGCTTCACAAAGCTGAAAAAGAAAGTCATCTCTCCAGCCAAGGTTCTCATACTCTGCTACCACTGCTGTGCCCTTGTAGGCATTTTTTAAATCATCGTAATGCTCCATAATCTCATCAGTAAATTTGTAGTTAATGTTAGGCGACTGTGAATGTATAGGAAAAAAGAAATCCAACACATGTCGTAGAACAAGATCAAGAATGTGGTGTTGGCAGCCGATGTATTGAGGTTCATCGAATCCCTTGTCTCCAAATGTTTTCTGAAGCTTGGCTGCAACTCCATTCTTACGACCAGTATTTACAGCTGTTGTGTCAGATATGATTATCTGAATACTGTTCCATGCATGGTAATCATCAAGTAGGTCCTGTAGTGGTTTATATATGCTTACAGATGATCCACTGTCACAAACCAATATGCCAAGTTGAAAATTGACTTCCTTACCTACAATTCAAGCCCATTTTTTCTTAAATTTTTTAAAAATTTAAAATGAATAACGCACGAAAACAATGCTCAAAGATTAATGCTGAAGTGAGAAATTTGATCATTAATCTTGTAATTAACGAAGGATAAAGTGTAAATGAAGTATCGGAACTCGTGCATAGAAGTGAGACTTCAATATGACGCCTGGTCCATCGATATTTATCAACAAGCAACATCAATATTGATATTAGAAGTGGTTTCCGACAGCCAGGTTGTATTGATGAAATAAGAAATAAGCTACACGAATTGATTGGAGATAACAAAAACTATATTCTACAGGAGTTAAAGGTAGAACTGGGGGGCTTGATGTCAATGTCTCTACATTATGGCGATGGTTAAAAAAATTGAATTATACATACAAAATATTAAGAACCGTTAGTAAAAGACGCAATACTGCAGAGGATAAGAAGAAAGAAAAATATTTGTTTCATAGTATTTAAACTTGACATTGCAATAACGCTACAGATATATCATTTAGATCGATGAAAGTCAGTTCAATCTTCATATGATAAGAAACCATGGATACAGTCTCCAAGCAGCAACCCCAAATCAACGTGTGTTATCATCAAGAAGCTGTTACATAACTTTGATATTAGCATTAAATTGTTTAAACATAGTCTACTGTGAAGCAGTAATTGGCGTAGGGGTGACAGCAGAAATCTATAAAGGATTCTTAAATACGCTTAAAAGTATTTTGGGAGAAGAAGAAGAGTTTACCTTGGTGATGGACAACGTTAAGTTTCATCATTCATTATCAGATTTTTATGATAGTTATCCCTATGAAATTCGTTTTTTACCCCAATACTTACCTTTTCTAAATCCTTGTGAAGAGGCATTCTTGAAAACTAAGAATACTACAAGAGGACAAATAGCTCTGATCGGAAATAACGATTTGTTAGAACGAATGAGGAGCGGTTGTGAGCACGTTACTAAACATGATCTTTCAAACTTCGTGAGACACTGCGAATCTTTTCCCATACAATGCGTTAATGGAGATGACATTAATAGAGAATAAAGTAATAATTTATTAAAACTTGATATTTCGAACTTGTATTCTCTTCAGAGATCAGTCCCATGAGACGGTTCTTAACTTGTTCTGCATCTCTGATTGTTCGACGCCAGACTCCAGACTGTGATGGTGTTGGACACAAACTCCATCCTTAGCCAGACTTTGAAGCACCCGTGACGTTATTCTGATTGACAAAGAGTGACTAGACACTAGTTTGGCAGCAGAATTAGTTGACTGGGGTTTTGCAAGCTTTCCGCGAAATTCTCCTGGAACTGCCTCCGAGTCACCACTGCTGCTTCCTTCCTCAGAATCCTCACTAACGCAGGAAAGTGGTACGGAGGTAACCGCTCGGTTTGTCGAGGGTTCTGATGTGCTTTTGGCCCTTTTTGATGGATGGATAGTTGATTGTTGACATAGGAGCCACTTTCATAGTTGTATATCCCACCCTGCCATCTGATTCAATTTGTACTTTGTACAGTTGTTTGTCCTCACTACAAAATCAATTTCCATCTGGTTTTGTTATATCGAACAGATTTTCTTCAAATACTGCATTTGGTCGCTTTCTGTGTTTCTCAAATGATGTGATAAGTTTGTAAACATTAGCAGACACTTGTTGTTTCGAAAGAACAGGAAAATTAAACTTCCGCCAAAGATTCAGTAATTCCTCGGATATTTTTGTTAGTCGACCATGTCGTCCTTTTAATTCATTAAAGAGTCCCAAGAATCTTCTAACGAT